CTTTAGCCGGGTGATATGTGGACGCGGGCCAGGAAATATTCGCAGGGCTGCCCTGCTAGGTGGAAGCCTCCTGAGGAAGAGCCCGGGATGCCAAAGCAGGAACCGCAGCCGCCGCCCCCTTCGGTCACGCAACACGAATTCGTTCCAGATAAGCAAGGGCACAGGTGCCGACAGTGCAACAGAGTGGCTGTTTCGGATGCCACCACGCGGAGCCTGTGGAACAGGCAGCGCAGAGACACGCCGCTCACCAGGTTGCGAGCGCAAGCCCAGCTTTCGAGTGTAGTCCCCACTAGGCCGATCGCTTTGATGGCTCCAACTGGAAACGGTAGAGCATCGGATAGCAGGCCTTCGCAGATGCATGCATCCAGCCCAGCAGCGAGGCCTAATCCGTCAGGGGCGATTGCTGCAGCAGTTGTGGCAGCGGCGGTTGCTCCGCAGAGGGGCGATGCCTCACCTCAGGAGCGGAAGCAATCAGATGCCAGCCGCTCGCCCCGACGCATGCAGCTCGACAGCTCTGACCCCTGCTTTAAGGGGGCGGCGGGGGAGTCGTCTTCGCGGAGGTCGTTGTCGGAAGGGCGGAGACATGCACTTGCCAGCAGTCTTTTACGCGCAGCGACTCGGCCTGGGCGCGCTGAGCCAGGGCCCCCCCCTGGAGCCCGAGAGGCAGTCGGGCGGCGTACCCCGCCAGATGACGCCCCGAGCTTGCAGGAGTGCAATGGCCCTGAGCTCTGCAGACGCGAGGCCGCCTGCGCCGCCAGCAGACGTAGGCGCGCCGCGGGCAAAGGCGAAGTTGGACAGCACTGCCAGCGTTAGTGTGCCGACTCCGCCTGCGCCGAGCGCGCCGCCGCGCCGAACTCGAGCACGCCCGAAGCCGCCTGCCCTTGTCACTGCCAGCGCTAGTGATGCAGGCCCTGAAGGCGGCAGTCAGGTTCCAGTTTGCGAGGAGCTTGGCTCCCCAAGTATGCCCGAGGTGAGCCAGCCTGCCGTGGTGATGGCCAGGCAAGAGGAGGGAGAGCACCTCGGGCACCTGCTTTTGTTCCGTGCGCCGCACACAGTGCGCAGGCTACGTGGAGCGCATGCACGCAAGCAAGGCAAGCTGCTGGGCGAAGCGTGCACGGGAGACCTTCCTGCTGTGCACTTGTGTAAGACCCAGGCAGAGAAGATGCGAGCTCGGCGCAGGGACCGGCTGGTGCAAGGCCTCCATCCTGGGACAGGGCTGCCCCTGGCCTAAGTTTGGTGGCGGTCGGTCAGGTGCGCTAGCCTGCACCTCTGCCAGTGTGCTGCATCCTGCGGTTTGCTGGCGTGGGGGCCCTAAGGCCCCCTCTTAAGGATCATGTGTTCCCCCTTTTTTCAGGGCCCTCGGATGGGTGTCCAGAGGGGCCCTCGAGTCCCAGGCGGCGTTCGTTTCACTTTCGGGTGTTGTGGACGCCGTCCTCTCGCAGAGCGAACGCACAGGAGCACGGCAGAACGCGCATGAGCACGAGGAGCACGGCAGAACACATAATACATAGGAGCATGGCAGAACACACAGGGGCACGGCAGAACACGCAGGTGCACGGCAGAACGCACAGAACACACAGGAAAACGGCAGAAGACGCAGGAGCACGGCAGAACACCGGAGCAGTAGGAGCACGGCAGAGCAAGCAGGAGCGCGGCAGAACATGCAGGAACATGGCAGAACACACAGCAGCAAAGCAGAACACACAAAACACATCCGTAGCCAGTTTGGCTCAAGGCCATGGAGCGCCCGACGACCGCAAGCCGTCCGCGGCGTTCCGAGCGCGAGGGGCTCCTCGCTTTAGGCCAGTGCATTTCTTTGTTGTGCTCCCTGCATTCGCGGCGCGGAGGCGCATCCTGTCAGCCCACGTGGCTTGGGCCATGGCGCGATCCTCGCGGGGTGGCGGCAGCGGAGGCAGGCGCAGCAGGACGTATTGGATGTGCAGCTGCGGTGGGTGGAACTGGGATTGGCGCACCACGTGCCTTGGCTGTGGGTACGTTACCCCGCCTTGGGCGCTGGATGCAGCAGCAGCCAAGGCCAAGCCCCAGGCGGACAAGGACGGCTGGGTGGATCAGCCGCGCGGGCGCCGTGCCCAGCGGCAGGCCCGCAGCGCTGCAACGAGCGCGGCAACCTCCAAGTCGCAGACCTCGGCGTCGGGCGCCAGTGGGACGCCCAGCGGCAGCGGCGCCACGGCGATCGAGAGGCTGCAAGTGGCGGTCGAGCAGCTGGAGGCGCTGCAGGCGGAGCCGCCCGACGGAGTCGACTGTTGCTTCGCCGACGTCGTCGCCAGCCAGTTGGAGGCCAAGCGCGCCGAGCTGGCAGAGGCCCAGCGGGCTGCAGCAGAGCAGAAGGCGTCCTCCATGCCGCTGTCGACGATGCTCCACAGGGAGGCGAACGCCATCAGCAAGGCGGAGAAGCGCCTCCGAGCAGCGCGCCAGAGCCTGGAGCAGAAGCAAGAGGCTCGTGGACTCGTCGAGGCCCAGCTGCAGAAGGCCCAGGAGGAGCTGGCGCAGCTCGACGCGGAGGTGGAGGAGGCCAGCCGTGCGCTCCACGCCCTCGAGGAGGAGGCCCGAGTGGAGGCCGCGGCGCAGTTGCGCCTGCGCGCGGCCGAGTGGGCAGGGGCTAGCCAGGCCCCAGGGCCCCTCATGCAGCTGGACAAGCTGCCCGAGGCATGGGGCTCCAGCAACTTCGAGGTGGCGTGGGCGGCCATTCGCTCCCAGGTGGAGACAGTGCGTGCGCAGCTTGCCGAGGTCACCACCGCCCCGAGGAGAGTGCCCTGGGCGGAGTCGCGCCCCATGGACGAGATCAGCAGCGAGGACGGCGACCACGCAGGAGGCTGCAGGCCCTGGCAGCCGCAGTGCGCCGCGGAGCGTGGCCAGGCCGAACGTCGCGGAGACGCGCGCGGTGAGCGGCCGATGGTCGCCCAGGCGTGCAAGCGGGAGCTGGCGGCCGAGGCTGAGGACCTGGCCCCTCTTGCTGCTCGCCCTGCTCGCCGCGCCGCTGGGAGTCGCGGCGGAGGCGAGAGGCCACGGCTGTCGCGCGCGTAGCCACGCCAGAGGCGCTTTGCACATGCAGCAGGAGGGCGGCGGCGCCGAAGCGGCCCGCTTCGGCGGCAAGCGGCCCCTCGACCCCGGGAGTGCGCAGGCCCCACTTGCGCCAGGCCAAGCTGCGACGGCAGCTCAGGATGTCCGCTGCGGGCTGGAGGAGCTCGGGGTCAACGGCAACGCATGGAGGTGGAGCCTGGAGGGGACCGAGGCCTTGGGCTCTCGCAGCGGGGCCCCGCCGCGCCTTGTAGTGCACCAGGAGCCCGTTCGGAAAACCTCCCGGCGATCACGAGCGTGATCGGGCCCGGCCCCCCCCCCCCCCTTCTCACGTCACGGCGGTCGTCCGGTGGCGACCGCGGGCGTCCTGTGGCGCTCTCAGGCTACTGTGGTGTTTAGAGGCACATTGTTGTGCTCTCAGGGACGTTGTGGTATTTGCGAAGGGAAGCGGTTGCGTGCGTGCCGCGTGGTGCTCTCAGGGACGCAGTTTTGTTCTGTTTCTGAGAGGCAATGGTGCGTCGGTCGTAGCGCGGCGCTCGTAGCTGCCAGCGCTGTGGTGTATACAAGCACTGGGGCTCCTCCTCCTCCTCTCCCTCCTCCTCTTCGTCCGGCATTTCTGATGGCCTCCTCCTCCTCCTCGTTCTCCCCCCTTTCCTCCCTTTCGTCCGTCCTCCTCCTCCTCCTCCTCCTCCTCCTCCTCCTCCTCCTCCTCTTACTCTTCGTTTTTGTACAGTATACGCGAGGCGGTGCTTTCGGCACACCCATTCCGCTCCCGCCTGGGTCTAGGAGGAGGAGGAGGAGGAGGAGGAGGAGGAGGAGCAGGACGACGACGACGACGAGGAGGACGAGGAGGACGAGGAAGGGGAGCCTGGAACGCAACGATGACAGTTTATTTGTACCCGGTATCGATTCATTGAGTTTCTGACCTCAGGGCGCCCTTAGGCCCTCCGGGGGCTCGGAAAGGAACGATAGAAGTTTATTTGTATCCGGTATCGATTCGTGGATTTTGTGGCCTCCAGGCGCCCTGGGCCCCACCTGGGGCCTCCCTGGGGACTGTAAAGGAAAGATTGTTATTACATGTTATTACTATTATAAGTAGTCGTAGTAGTAGTAGTAGTAGTAGTAGTAGTAGTAGTAGTAGTAGTAGTAGTAGTAGTAGTAGTAGTAGTAGTAGTAGTAGTAGTAGTAGTAGTAGTAGTAGTAGTAGTAGTAGTAGTAGTAGTAGTAGTAGTAGTAGTAGTAGTAGTAGTAGTAGTAGTAGTAGTAGTAGTAGTAGTAGTAGTAGTAGTAGTAGTAGTAGTAGTAGTAGTAGTAGTAGTAGTAGTAGTAGTAGTAGTAGTAGTAGTAGTAGTAGTAGTAGTAGTAGTAGTAGTAGTAGTAGTAGTAGTAGTAGTAGTAGTAGTAGTAGTAGTAGTAGTAGTAGTAGTAGTAGTAGTAGTAGTAGTAGTAGTAGTAGTAGTAGTAGTAGTAGTAGTAGTAGTAGTAGTAGTAGTAGTAGTAGTAGTAGTAGTAGTAGTAGTAGTAGTCGTTGTCGTTGTCGTTGTCGTCGTCGTAGTAATAGTAGTACTTGCAATAGTCGTAGTAGTCGTAGTACTCGTAGTCGTAGTCGTAGTCGTAAGAGTAGTAGTGGTGGTGGTGGTGGTAGTGGTGGTAGTAGTAGTAGTAGTAGTAGTAGTAGTAGTAGTAGTAGTAGTAGTAGTAGTAGTAGTAGTAGTAGTAGTGGTAGTAGTAGTAATAGTAATAGTAGTATGTTGCGGCACCCCAGGCGCACCCCCGCCGTGACGTGATCGGCGGGGCGTCCCCCCCCCCCCCCCCCCCCATCACGCCCGTGACCGGCCCGAAAAAGCGAACGGGCTCCAGGGGACCCGCCTGGCTCCGCACCGCCTGGGGGGGGGGCCAGAGGAGCAGCGCGGCGCATGGGCTCCACGGCGTTCCTCCACGCGTCGGCGCCCACGGACAAGGAGGGCCCGCTGGCGAAATCAGGCGGCGTTGCAGGCTGGAGGCAGGGCTTGAGTGGAGTCACGGTGTCCACTGCGTCAGGCCTGCAGCTGCTGGCATGCTCGATGTACCTCCAGGGCGCCCTGGGACCCAGAGGCTTCAACCTCGACAGCTTCGCCGCCTTCGGCGGCACGGTGCTCCACCAGAGACCGCGGTTCATTTCCGTCGTGGGCCTGGCCACCGAGACGTTCAGCACCAACGGGACAGATTTGGCGGGGTGTGCGTTTGGCCTCATTGTGGCCAAGCCGCCTGGGCTGGCGGCCCTTCACGCAGCCCCAGCGGGCGGCAGGCCGCTGGGTGCGGCTCGCACCGTCGTCGGCGACATCGCGCTGCAGGCCGTGGGCACGGAGCAGCTGGTGGCCGCGCGGTCTGGCAGAGCAGGGCTGGAAGTAGTGCGCCGCCTCCGTGGCCAGCGCATGCCCCTCAGTACTGCCCAGACGGCCTTCCTCGCTCCGAGCCCCAGCCTAGGGCGCCAGCTCGGGGCGTGCGGGAAGTCGCAAGGCTGGACCTTATGCGAGACCTTGCAGGCCAGGAACCTCGGCTCGGGCCCCGCCAGCACGAGGTGTGGAGCACATGAGGGCAGAGTCCGAGCTGCAGGAGCGCTCCGCCGAGCGCGCAGGCTGGACCCGATCCACAAGGCTGGGCCCGCGGCAAGCAGGGTGCGCGGGCGCACGGTCACGGGCAACGCGGACGGCGAGTTGCACAGTGGGCGGCTGGCGGCCTGTCGCAGCGCAGGAGCACTTCCCTTGAGCGCAGAGCGAGGGCGGCGCATGCGCTGTGCCGAGCTCAAGAGGAGGCGTAACCGGGATCCTGCAGCCCTCAGGGCAGGCCACGCAGTCCAGATGATGGCGGGCCTGCTGCAGACAGGCGAGCTGCCGCCCATGATGATGTTGATGGAGCAGGGGCTGGAGGCGGCGGCGACCAGGCACGCAAGAGCTGACGCGCCATGGAAGCACTACGCCTCCCCCCTCGACGCGGAGATGCTGACCCGTGCGCGGATCGACTGGCACTTCAAGTCTGAGCGGTGCATGGTCACGGACCCTGGCGATGAGCTCGACCTCATGCACCTCGGGCCTCAGGGGCTGGGCTTGGAGGCTGGCCCAGGCGCTCGAAGTGCGTCTTTTCGTCACGATGCGCGGAAGCTCAGCCACGACACTTGCCTGCTGGGGGCCTGCATCTCCAACCCGCACTGGACGCAGGCCAGGCTCCTCGATGCACGGGAACAGGGGCAAGCGCGCTGCTGCGGAGCAGAGAGAGAGAGAGAGAGAGAGAGAGAGAGAGAGAGAGAGAGAGAGAGAGAGAGAGGCACCTTGTGGCACCGCCTGCACGGCGGCCCTGTGCACGAGGCCCAGCGGTGCGACAGAGGCCGCTGGCTGCCCGCGCCTGAGCCGCCGCAGGGTCGCCGCACCGACGCCATGGAGGTGCGTGGTGTCCGCAGGCCAGCCGATGATAAGCTCAACGGCAAGCTGCACCTCGAAGGCTCGACGCTCGAGCCGCTGTTCGGCGCCTTGCGCTGCGAGGGCTGGGCCATAGCACACTGCGACGGCGACGACAACCTGCTGGCAGAGGTCTACGGCGCAGTCGGGCGCGACCGCTGCCCGCAGCGGACGGCCAAGGACGGCGAGGACGTGGCGGCCTGGATGCTCGCCACCCTTGCGAGGCCAGCAGTGGGGGAAGTCAACGTCGTTTGTTCGAGGCAGGCAGTGCTCGACGGGCTCCTGACGGAGGCCCAGAGGCGCGGCAACGAGCACGCCGACCGCCTCGCCGCGATGGGCGCCCAGACGCATGCAGTGGACAAGCTGACGGTTGTGCACCAGGCGCAGGCGGGGTTCGTGCAGGAACTCGGGCGCTGGATCTGGCGGGCCGTCATCCTCGGGCAAGGCGTCGAGGCCATGGGCGGCGAAGGGCTCCCTGCTGCTGCCGAGCGGCGCCAGGCGCGTTTCGCTGACGCCGAGAGGTCTCAGGCAGCGGAGGAGGTCATGGGCGAGGGACCGTCGGCCAAGCGGCCACGCTTGGAGAGCGCCCGCTCGACTGGCAGCAGCTCGGCAGCCCTTTCGGCCAGCGCAGTAGCCTTCAGCATCCTGGGACATGCCCTGTCCTACGCCTGCGCTGGAGAAGGTGAGGGCACCCAGGAGCTCGTGGCGTGCTCCAAGTGCGGTGCCTACATGACGCTGGGCGGCCGCTCAGGGGTCAAGCCTCGCCTCAAGGAGCGGTGCCCAGGCGACAAGACCGACAAGGGCGGCAGGAACCAGCGCAGCCTGTGGCTACGAGGACTCCATCCTGGAGGCAGGAGGCAAGAGGGGTCACGAGCTGCCAGGCACAGAGCGAAAGGAGAGGGCTTCCCTTCGCTCCGCTCGCAGGGTACAGTGCCTGAGCACGCGCAGGAGCGGTACCTGGAGTGGCTTGGAACGGCAGCGGTGCCAGCTGCAGACTCCTCGGCCACGGCGACCAGTGCAGGCAACGCCCCAGCGGCGGCTGCAGAGCCGCAAGTGGCCGCGGACCCAGGAGGAGGCCCACCGGATGCAGCCGCCGCGGCCGGCCCTGCAGGCGACGCCCTGGAGGACCGCAGGATGCGCCGCCGCGTGGCGCGCCGTGGCGGCCCGTCCGTGAGCAAGTGAGTGAAAGGTTGCATCGCTGTGGCTCGCGCCAGCTGCTCCATTTGGGAGCAGGTTTCCGTCGCCCTCGGTTCCTTGTGGGACTCGGCGTCTCTCGGGAACGCGGGTCCCGTCTGGCCTTGTCCGTGTTTGCCCCCTTTGCCTTGAAGGCCCCGTCTTTAGTTTTAACTTTAACACACAAAACACATAGAAGCAAGGCAGAACACACAGGTGCACGGCAGAGCACGCAGGATCACGAGGAGCACGGCAGAACTTTCAGAGTACATAGGGATTTGGCAGAACACACAGGAGCATGGCCGAACACACAGGACCGCGGCACATTACGCAAAACACAGGAGCACGGCAGAACAAGCAGCAGTATGGCAGAGCACGCAGGAGCACGGCAGAACACACATGAGCACGGCAGAACACATAGGAACACGGCAGAACACGCAGGAGCACGGCATAACACAGCAGTGCCGCAGACCACCACGCACGGACACACATGCACAGATTCGACGCACGCACGCGCACGCGCAAACGCAGGCACGCCACGACATATCTGCGCGGCAGGCCAACACAAGAACATACTTCACATACCTAGTGGACAAAAGCAACACTTCCCGTGCTTGTCCGGTCAGGTTGTGTCTCCAGGAGCCTCTTTGGAGTGCTCTTGGAGGCCTCTTGGCGTCTTGGAGGCTCTCGGGCCGTCTTGAGGCCATCGTGGGCGTCTTGGAAACCTCTCGGGATCTTTGGGACACTTCCAGGTCCCTGGGGCTTCTCGGAGTTATGTCGGCCCGTTTTGGGCGGGTACGGCCTGGAAAGGTCCGGGGAACTGGCGGTCTGGGCCCTTCCAATCCCTGGCTGCAGCAATCCCGGCTGCAGCCGCAGCGCAGCTGTGAGCCTTGGGGCACCCCACTCCGTGTCAGAGGCTCCTGCGGCGGATTCTGTGATGCTCAGAGTGTTGACACCAACACCGGTATTGGCGATGGCTTGCGCCGGGGGGGGATGACCCCGATCTCGGTGATGGTGGTAATGCTCGGTCGCTCCAGGTGGTCGAAAGAGTACCACCAGCACCAGACTCTAGGATCATCCCCCCCAGTGGAGACCCCGTCTTGGTGTTGGTGCCACTCTCCAGTCCTCCAACGTTCGCTTGCCATCGCATATGATTGCGCCAGGCCTGCGTGTGGAGGCCGTCCCGTACCTCCTGGGGGCATTCGTCCACCCGAGGTGGCCTTCATCTCCCCCTCGAAGGGCTTGCCTCTGGGCTGGTTTTGCTACGCCCCTGCGCCCTGGGCGACCCTGGTGCTCGAAACTGATCTCGGAGGTTTCGAAATTTTGCGCTCTGATGCGAACGGTCAGGACCGCCCACGATCCGATTCGATGCGCTTCGATTCGCGATTTGGGCCTGTGATTCCGACTCGGTTCGATGTGGATCGATTCACCGGCATCGGCAGGGGCGAGCCGGAGGTCGAGCGCGGCGATCCGATTTCGATACGATTTGCTGGCGATCCGATCCGTTTCCGATCCCGATTTCGCGGTTCGATCCAGCTCAGGCCTGCGTGCAATCCCAAGGCGCAACCGCTGGCTGCGCACGCAGCATCGGACAGGTGGTGTTCTGTTTGCGCGCTCTCAGAGCACGGCCCTTGCGCAACGCGTGTGATTGGCTTGTTTTCCACCACCACCACCATAGGTTGGAGGGGGAAGGAGGTGGAGGACGAGGAGGAGGAGGACGAAGAGGAGGAGGAGGAGGAGGAGGAGGAGGACCCCCTCCCCCGCCAACTTACGGTGGTGGTGGCGGAAAACAGGCCCATCAGCGTGGGCACCACTCGCAGCCCGGTGGCTCTGCGTGGCAGTCCCGCACACCCGTGCGGCACAGCTTGTCTCTTGTCTCGTCGCTTCCCATGGCGCGGCCATCGTGGACCCATCAGAGAGAGAGAGAGAGAGCAAGCCGTGCACGTCTAGGGTGCATTGGCAGTGAAACGTGCGAGGCTATGCTCGCGCTGGCGCGTCAAAGCAGAAGCGCCGGGCAGCCGTGCGCCGCGCGTGCGCAGACCCAGGCAGTGCTTGTTGTAGAGTTGGTTGTCCGCCAGCTGCTTGGCATGCCAAATCGTAAACATACCGGCTCCAAGTGTCTCTGGGCCGGCCGCGTATGCGGGGGCCCCGTGGGCGGGCTAAGGTGCAATTCCTTGGCGTGAAGACGCAGCGCCTCACTGCGCTACCATTTGGTTGCCGGGCGACGTTTCCCATCAGGACTAATTGTCTATATGCCAGCAAAGAACTCAGCTTGCCGCAACCACAGGTGGCGCGCACTGACTCATTAGTGATGTGACTCACATACGAACGCCTTCTGCCAGCCACTCTTCGGAGGCACCGTGCTTGGAAGGCATCCAGCTTGTTTGTCTTGGCACCGTGCTTGGACCCATCAGGAGGGGAAAACACACAGACACCATTGATCGTCGAGAAAATATGGGGATTCCTGTTATTTGTGTATTTGTGTGTCCCTGGGCCCCTTCAACCCAGGAGGTACGCTCTGGGCGGACCGATGCGAGCACAGAAGAACCCCTAACCCTAGTAGCTCGATGAAGACGTGGCCTCCCTGAGGTCCCCGTCTTCGCATTAGGGATAATGCTGCTGGGCGGCTCGGCCTGATGCACCTTCAGAAAAGACCCCCTATGCCTAAGGTTCCTGTCCCTCCCAACTTAGGTCCGCTCCCAGAGGGTTAGGAGTCCTTTTATGCCTAATCAATGCGGACTGCATCCAGGGCTTTCGAGCCCTGCGTCTTGAGGCTTGGGTGGGGTTTTCGAGCCCTGCGTCTTCAGGTTCCCGTCACGGCCACAACCCAATCTCCTTCCAAGCCATTTGGTTCTCAAGGTGCATTGGTTCACGTACGCTGCTACGTAAGGTTTTTTTCCAGACGACCGATCTTCACATGCAGATGATATCAAATTATGTGCTTGTTTTGCTCGGGTATGCAAATCTGAGAAGTTCAGCAGCGGTGAATGTGTTAGATGTGTCTTTCGGGCTGACGGCAGTTCCCAAGAACGCGTGGATTTGGAACATGCATGTACGTGGCGATGCATTTAAATATATGTATGACCCAGCCATGCTCACAGTGGGCGAGGCTTTGCGCGATTACGGGGCCAAAGTTACTTTCGTGTCTAAGGACAACTTAGATTCAGATGGCAACAGAAATGCCTTGTTAGAAAATGTCACCGCCGCAGTGGCACGTGGCCAGAAGCCTCTCATTGTGGCAATCGCGCTTTGGTTCGCGGGTGAGGGTGCATCTGAATCGGTTTCGCTCTTGCGGAAGTGCAAAGGTCTTGGTGCGTTTGTCGTCTTCTATCAGACAGAACCGGATTACCGGAAGGCTTTTCAAAAGTTCAAAAGCACGTGCGATGGTTTGTGCGACGAGATTTGGGATTATTCTCATGCGAATTTGGATAATTACCCCGAATCTTGGAGACGTGTTCCAACCCGATATGTGCCCCCAGGGTATGCGCGGGCCTTGGACTTTGGCGTTAGTGTGGCGAAGCAGGATACACATGTGGAGAATATTGGTTTCCTAGGCGAATGGCGGTGGCGACGTGATGATAAAGGAGCTCTGTTGTATCCAATGTACCGCGAAGTGTTCGGTGCCAAGCTAGTCACCGGTGATCATGTCCACACGGCAGAAGATTTCATTAGGTTCTTCACAGACTATCCGGTGCAATTGAACACGTACAAAGGTGAGAATTGTTGCCCAAGTACGAATGCGTTGTCGGCATTCCGCATGGCGCAGCTCATCTCGAATCGAGCCTGCGTTATATCGGCTCGCGCCTACCCGCATGACGAGGAGGAGTGGAAAGGCATAGTGCACTTCGCGGAGCGGTCCCAAATAGCCAACTTGTTCGACGAGAAGAGCAGGGATGTCGGCAACTGCCAGAAGCAGAGCTTCGAGAAGTTCAAAATCAAGTTCAAGCCGTTGTCGATTTTGAAGCGCTCTGGCTTCTTCGACGTTTGGTAACCCTCTTGCGCATCGTGAACGCTTCAGTGGCCCAATGGCCGACGGTGTTTAGATCCGCGTGTCTCTCTTCCCTCATTCGTCCGTCTTCCTCCCCCTTGTCCTCCTCTTTCTCCCCCCTTCTCTTCTTCCTCCACGACGGCGGCAGCGGCAGAACATGTGGAACTACAGCGGACCCACGAACTCCAGAACCAATTTCCGAACTTCTACCGAACAAACCCCCGAACGCGAACCGAACAACCCCCCGAACAGGAACCCGACAAACCCCCGAACGGGAACCGAACGAACCTCCGGACTTCTGCCGAACAAACCTCGGGACCTCCTGGGAGAGGCCTTCTGGGGCCGCCTGGAGAAGCTTCCTGGGGCTCGAAGGGCACACCCCCGCTTTCGGAGGGCCCGAAGGCGCTCCCCAGACGGTCCAGGAAGCCTCTGAAACAGTCCAAGAGCGCGTCAACACGCCCAAGATGACTTCTAGACGGCCCGAGAGGCCCCCCACACACCCCAAGAGGGCTCTAAGAGGACACCTATGAGGGCCGCAAGATACAAACAACGCCCCACTCTGGGGAAGCATATAATTTTAGCACATTTCCTTTTTGGTTTGAATAGCGTCCACGACGGCATCAAAGAACCCCAAGATCGCCCCAGGACATCCCAAGAGGCCTCCAAGACGGCCCAAGAGGCCCTCAAGATCGCCCCAAGACGTCCACAAGGGGGCTCCGAACCTCCTCAGAGGCCCCCGAGCTGGCCCAAGAGGCTCCCAAAGTGCCCCAGGTTGTCTGGAAGATGGCCGAAGAGCGCACTGAGATGGCCTCCGGACGGCCGACGAGCGCTCGAAGACAGCCCAAGGCTGCTCCTAGACGGCCACAATGGCCTTCAAGACGGTTCCAGAGGCCGCCCAGAAGGCCCCCCAAGGGCCTAGAGGCCCCCAGGAAAACCAAAACAGCCCCCAAACTAGCCCCCAAGAAACCCCGAAGCCCCCCCGCCAGGCCCAAAATTGTGCTCCGAGAGACTTCCAATGAGA